TTTTTAAATTAAATTATTTTATTCATTTAATGCAGAACAACAACTTCAAAGAACAATATGAAATTATGATGAATAATTACAAAATCTTCATAGATTATACTCCACTATACCAAAAAGAAGTAAATGAAATGAATAACAAAGCAGATATTTTAGAACAGCAATGTAATGATTTACGAATTCAAATACAACAATATGAAGAAAAAATTCAACAAATATATAATTGAATTTGAAACAAAATAAAAGTCATTTCTTTTTTCTTATTTTTAATAGATCTAAAATCTTGTATCTTTAATTATGTCTTCTGATTTATATGTTGGAATAGATTTAGGAACAACAAGAACAAAAGCTGTTCTTTGGAGTAGACAATTTTCATCTTTTAATGTAATCAAATTTAATGAAAAAGAATATCTTCCTTCCGTTATTGATACTACAAATCCATCTAATGTTATAGTTGGTGTTGATAGTTCAAAAGAAGGAATGATCTATGATATTAAAAGAATTATTGGTAAAAATTCAAAAAGTGAAGGAATTGAACTTGAGAAACAACGTTTTGGTAAAAGACTAATTTTCGACAAAGAAGGAAATCCTCAAATAAAACTTAATTGTTCATCATCAGAAACTTTACAACCAGAAGAAATTAGTGCTATTATTTTAAATAAAGTAAAGAAAACAATTATTGAACAAACTCAAACAGATAAATTTAAAGTTATTGTAACTGTTCCAGCTACTTTTACAGACCAACAAAAAGATGCTACATTATGTGCTGCTCAATTAGGAGGATTAGATGTTATTCAAATCTTACCAGAACCAACTGCAGCTGCTTATGCCTATGGAGTAGATCAAAATAATGGAAACTTTTTTGCATTTGATTTTGGAGGAGGAACATTAGATACTACTATTCTTAAAAAAACAGGTAATAGTTTAAAAGTTATAAGTGCTGGTGGAGATCAACAACTTGGTGGAATTGATATTGATATAAATTTATTTGAATTTGTTCTAAACAAAATTAAAAATGAAGATGTTAATTTGTATAATAGCCTTAACATAACACAAAGTGATGACAGTAAAACTCAAACAAGAAAGATTAATAAAAGAAATAAATTAAGAAAAGAAGTTGAAAAAGCAAAAATTGAATTATCATCATCTAATGATGTAATAATTAATTTATCAGAAGTCCAAGACTGTGAAGAAGAAGAGGGAATAGAATTTGAGATTACCCAAAATGAATTTGAATCAATTAATAAAAAAATATTTGACAAATGTAAAAAAGTTATTGATGATACATTAAAAAGTGCTAGAATGAGTGTTAAAGAAATAAACAAAGTATTTCTTGTTGGAGGAAGTTCTCATATTCCAGCTATTGAAAGTCTTATAGAAGAAAAGTTTGGAAAAAAAATAGCTGAGTCAAAACTTGATAGAAATGTTGTTGTAGCTAAAGGAGCATGTATGTATTGTTATAGTAAAGGGACAAAAGTAGATGGATCAATTATTCCTAGTCTTAGTGATATTACATTATATCCTATTTATATTAAATCATTAGATGACCAAGATCAAGAATTTATGGCACAAGTTGTTAAGGAACATTCAACTATTCCATTAACAAGAAGTTTTGAAGCTGAAGCTGTTGGTGGAAATGCTATTGTTGAAATTTATGAAGGAACTCATCAATTAGGTAAATTTGTTATTGATAACGTTCAACAACCAATTATTACAATGGAATTATCTATTGAAAATGATTATTTAGTTCATGTCATTGCTCGATTAAATAACCAAACCATCAAAAAAGCATATAATGCAACCAGAAAACAAAACACTAATTCTGAAATTGAAATAAGAAAAGCACATCTTCAGAAATATTTTAAGTAATTTCTTTCTTTAAATTAAAGTATATTTAAAAATTTTTGATATGTCCATCCATCATGATAATTATCTTCTACTATTAACCATTCTTTCCATCTATCACTACAGTCAATTGTAATTATCTTTTTTCCAATAGAAGATATTAATTTTCTCATAGTTATTGCAATCACATTATCTTCTTCTGAAATTAAACTATTATTTGCAATTTCAGTTATTGTAGAAACTCCAAAACATGATTTAATCATTTTCTTTTCTAATAACCTATCAACTCCAATAATCATTTGTTCTCCAATAATAAGAAGTACAAGACAATTCTTTACTTCTTGAGCTGATAATGTAACTGAACGATAATTACCATTTCCATCAATAACATACATCACTGGTATTGGAAATTCCCCTTTTCCAATTATTGTTCTTAAAATCCCAGCACAAACATATCCTTTTTTATTCATTTGTGGTGTTTTTGTTAGACAATATAAATAATAAATCGTCTCATTTCTTTGAGAACAATATTTAGGAATTTTCTTTGCTATATTTATAAGATATTCCTTTGCTTCTTTAATTCCTTCTTTAATTCCAATTGTTGATGAAATAATATTACAGGCAATAGTAAGTCCTCTTGCATTAATTTCTGGTTGATTATTTTGTGGTATTTTCATTGTTTCTATTCGTAGCATTCTTTCTTTATTTTGATTTGTATAAAGAAATACTGTTTGAATATATGTATTTGTTATATTAGATATTGGTAATATTTCATAGTCAATAACAAAACATGATGTTGGGTCAATGCATGGAACTGCAATTAAGTCATTATTCCTTAGATTATAATTCCCATATCTTTTTTTTGTTGCTAAGTTATGTGTTGTTCGAATTCTAAATACTGCCTCATGACGATAACTTTGTAAAATGTCATTTATCATTGTTTGAGATAATTCTTCATTTGAATTACAAACATAAACTCTTCCTCCAGTTCTTCTTGCAAAATCTGAGAGTGTTGCTGTATCAAATGCATTCCTTAAATTAAAGAACATGTCAATAGTAATCATATTATTATTCATTTCTATAGCTAATTCATCATAAAAAAGATCATGACTAGATTTAAATGTTTTAAAATCATTTGTTAATGGATTTAATTTTCCTTCTCCTTTTGTTGGATGACTTCCATTTAAACAAATGACTTTTCCTCCATAGTTTTTGAGTATAAAATTGATTGTTTTCATTGCATTCCCAAAACAACATCCAACATAATTTTGTTCATCATTATATTTTCTTATATTATCTATAATTTCAGATTTGATTGTTTCAATAGATGGTAAATATAAATTAATATCATTAATAAGTTCTGTTGCATCTTCACTAAAAACATCAATACTATAATGACTATTATGGTATTTAAATAATGTTACTTTATCACTATAAACCATTACTCCAATTCGAGTATTATTAGGTATCTTTTGAATAATATTTATTAAGATGTCTTTAACTGATTCAAAACATAATTGATCAATAGCAAATAAAATATAATTCCCTTGCATTGGTCTTCTAGTATAATTACTATCAGTTTTTATTTCTAATGCATCAACTATTAACTCTGGATATTCTTGAATTCTTTCTTGTGTTAATTGAAGATATCGTTCAGTTAACTCCGTATTGATATGTCCACATAAACAACATTTCCATGTCCTTTCTGCAACAATCCAATTGTTATATTTATTCATATATCCTTTACATCCTCTACATCGTGATATGGTTGGAATATCATATCTATTGACTTCATTACATAATGGAGTATAAACAAAATAAAGAGGTATTCCAACTTTTGCTCTTTGAAGTTCAGTATAAGGAATACTATTCATACTACATTCAATACGATTCATAACACAAAAAATAACTATTCAGATGTATCTTATTAAATTGTTTTTCTTCCCGAAAAATCATTGTTATTTCCCATAGTTCTAATTGAAATATGATTATAATTTCATTCTAATATTTTTAAACTATATTTTAGTACTTTTAATTATTCGATTTTAAAAGAAACAGAAGATTATTTTAGTAATTCTACAATGAGAAATATGAATGAACTAAATTTATATAACAATAGCATATAATCCTAATCACTTTCAAACCTAAATAAAAACATTTGATTTTACCACATTATTTGAATTAAATACATCTTCATTGTTGTATTTCTGTATATTATTCAATTAAGACATTATTCTTTCTTTGAATAATCAATATTCTTTTCAAAATAATACTTATTTTTTATTGTTCATTATTTCATTAGTTATTCTAAAACTAGAAGTTGTGAATTGGATTTTCATCTTTTCTTTTTTTTTATATTTACTCTTTTAATTAAAGTGATATAATGGGTTGTACTACTCCTTAATTTTATGTACAATCACTATTAAAGAAAGACACATTTTTCTGAATAATAATGAAAGGAAAAAACTCATTTTCATTTTGTTCTGATTGTCAACACTGATAACACATATAAATCAGATGACTTACATTATTTAATAAATCTTTAGAAGAGCTTTTACTAATAAACAAGATTATCTATAACTTGTTAGAACAATTTGAATGATTAATATTAAAACCATCTATTTCATCGTTAAATCTTGCATATAAATAACAATAACTAATTTCACTTATTACACATACATTAACAATACTGAATTGAATATATCACAAATATAAAAAGAAATTTTTATCCTATTTTATACATTTAAAATTACAATATTTCAATCATCATTCCATTAACATTATAATCATATTCATATTGTCTTTTATTTAATGTATTTAAAATTGAAAACAATATTTAGTATTAGAAATTTAGAGGTAAAAATGAATATATTAAAATAAATAATGCTCTAGTTTGTATTTATAAGATACTCAAAACAGTCATTTAGAAGTATTCTAAATTTTCTTCTTAAAAGGGAAAAACATTGAAATAATCATTCAAAATGTTTATTAATGATATATTACCTAACTACAACTTGTTTATAGAAAAGACAATGACTCATTTAATTGTAAATAACATGTATTTTCGGAATAGAATTTATAAAGAAAAAACAAAAATATTCAATTAATATTTTTCTTGTGAAAGTGCTTTTGAATCCCAACGTAATTCTCTCACTACAGCTGGAATAGAAGTTGCTGGAATACACCCAAATTCAGTTACAACAACAGTAATAAAATCATGTGGAATTTCATCATATAATGTAATTCCATTTCCAATCCGACATATTTCTCCGTCATTCTTCATAATTTCATCTGTCATTTTATATGTTTCACAACAAACAATAACTGGAATATGTTTACTTTTTGCAGCAATTAAGACTGATGCTGTTCCTGATCTTGTATATAATGACCCTCTTCCATCCATAGAACTTGCTGATAATATTACTCTATTAACAGAAGCTAAAACTACTTGAAGTCCACTTGGAAGAATATATGTTGTATCTATTCCAATTTCACTTAATGCTCGTGCAAAGATTGCTCCTTCTTCAAATGGTGATGTTTCAACAACAATAACTCTAAATTTATTTGTATCAGTAAATGCTGTTTTAAAAACATTTAATAATAATGTACTATAATTAATTGTTAATATTACGGAACCATTATTAACATATTTATATGAGTCAACCACTATTTTTTCATTAATTTCTTTATTATTTAATATTTATTTAAATAACAAACTACTTGACACAATTTCTTTTTGACTTCCAATAATATTAGATGAAACTGTTTGTGCTGTTGCAATAATATTTTCAATACTTTGATTCTTCATAAAAATAAATTTACGAACATTATTCATTCCAACAGTAATTGTTCGTGCATGTTCTAATAATTTAACATTTTCTTCAATTAATGGAATACATTCAGAACTTTGTGTTAATTTACTTGCTTTTAATGTTTGAATAATACATTCAATAAATCGTAATGCTCGAATAGTACTACCAACACATTTATATTCAGAACATTCTAATGCAAATCTTGCAAATGATGGATGAATCGTACTATTAATTTCAACAATTGGCATTTGTTTTTTTGTTCCTAACATTAATTCTATTGTATTTACTTGTTGAATAACTTGAGAATCTCCTGTTTTTGATTGTTGATTATTTTCTCCTAACTTAGCTGCTTTTTTATCATGTTTTTGTTGTTTTTTTAAAGCCTTTAATTCTTTATTAGATAATTGTGGAATTCCATCACTTTTTTGTTGACCTTCTTTCTTTTCTTCTTTTGTTTTTCCTTGTTTTTGTTTTTCATCTTTACCTCCTTTTGTTTGTTGTTGTTGTTTAGTTTTTCCTTGAACATTCTGCTTTGAAATAAGTTGAGATGGTTGTTTAGTGCTCATAAAAAGTAAAATATTAGTTCTATTTTATTTTACAAAAGCCCTATTTTTTTTTAACTTATAACAATGAACTATTACAGATTTTCTAAAACGTAATTGAAAGTTTATGATGCCAAATACTTAATTAATTACTTTACGAACCAAAGCTCCAACTCTCCAATTAACTAAAACGAGGAGTAAATTGAAAAATGTAATATAAGTATTTCTTTGACTTCTAAATAATCTAAAATGTTATTTTCGATTTAATACCTTATTAAAATGAAATAAACAAACTCAGAATATGTTGAAATACGTGTATTAATTGGAGCATCAAATGCTAATGATTGTTTAACACCTTCACAATGTTTCATTCTAGAAAATGCATCAATAAACAGAATAGAAACAATGACTAATAAAGTAATTGAAAATATTCTTTTTTTAACAATCCAATGACTTAAACTAAGAATTTGTTTTTTAAGAATATTAGGAATAGGAATTAATAACAATGTTAATGTAACAATAAGAATAACACAAATAACAAAATTAAGTGTATAAAGAATAGAAGCCATTTTATTATTTTTAAGTTCTTAGTTTAGTTTCTATTAAAAATACTTATTAAATAATATAACCATTAAATAACAAAAATATTCATTTCAAAGATGTTACATTG